CATACTTAATGGCTACCGGTTTTTGTCCAAAAACAAAACGCACACACACACAAGAAAACAAACTATCACAAGATTTTGTTTACAAAACAAAAAAAGACATAGACAAATATTTATAAATTTGTTTTTGTTTTTTCAATAAATATTTCTTAATTTTTTCTTAAATTTGCATATCACATCATCGTCATCGATCAATCAATAATGACATTCGATTACGAATTACGATTTATTGTTGTTGTATTTTTATTTGTATTTAAGTTTTGTTTGTTTCTCAATTATCTTTCACTTTGAGCATAACACACAAACCTAGCGTACAAAATAGTGTAATTCGAAAAATACCTTCTTTTTTGTAAAAATTTTATTAAATAAATTTAGTAGTTCCTCTTATCACAAGACCGTACCGCCGTACGTTTGTCGCCCGCCAAATGTAAGTAAGACGACGTTTACACGATTTTACGTTTCAACGAATAATTTTGTTTTTATTTTTTTGATTCTCTGATTGTACGTTTCGTACAACGCTTTGCAAAAGACTAAGCTCGAACTGCCGATTGTCGGTGATTTTATTTTGTCAAGCTACGATCCGAATTGGCGATCGCCTTTTCTTTATTCACACAAAAGTATTCTCCCAATCCCAAATTCCAGCTACTCTACTAAGTAAAGCCACAGAAACCCGAACACACACAATATCGCGCAGACACACACGTACACACAAACGCCTAGAGATAGCAGATATGAAACTGATTTGATTTTTAGATGTTGTTTTCAGTTTATTTACATATTCATCAGCGAGAAACATTAACGCATAGATTAAATACTATGTCATGAACTCGACATTTAACCCGACTCCCAGTCGTATCTATACATACATATGTAGATTTCCTTATTCTCGCATCTTGAAAAATTCTATTTAATTTCGAATCGAAGATTGAAAAACATACATGCATAAATGTTCTATAAATTTTTCAATCTTGAAAATTTTCATTTGAATTCCGATCATTGTCATGATACCCTTGCATTTTTTAACGGAAAAAAATTCTTATCGTACGAAATGCAATACGGAATTTCCAAACCTTTACCACTGTTCTGTAGGTCAAAAGTTAGGTAGGCAAACAATATATAGTCTGAAACCCAATATTTAATACTAATATTCGTTCTGAATATCAACTAAGACCATTTCGAGACATTAATCGGTTCATAATCATAATCCTCCCTAGATTCCAAATTTTTACCATTAAAGAAATTTTCAATGCAAGAAAAAGATGATAATCGCTTGGTGCCAAGTCCGGACTGTATGGCGGATGCATAAAAACTTCCCAAACAAGCCCTCGAAGTTTCTTGCGAGTCAGTGTAGATATGTGTGGCCTAGCGTTGTCCTGGTGGAACACGACACCGCTCCTGTTGGCCAAACGGTCCAGTTGTTGACAATAGAGATCAGAATTTAGCGTTTGGCCATATGGAAGCAACTAAATAATCCCCTTCCAGTCCTTGCAAATACCGTTAGTCCTGGTTTGGCCACCGTTTGAGGTGCTCCACCGCTCTTTGACCACGATCGTTTTCGCACAGGGTTATCGTAAGTGATCTATTTCTCATATCCCGTCACCATTTGTTTGAGAAATGGGTATATCTCATTCCGTTTGCCAAGGCTTCGCAGATGGAAATTCGATCCACCCTATTGTTTCTATAAATTCAAGCTTTCTAAAAACATCGAGCTTTATTTTGAATCCAGCTTTGTGTAAATGGTTTAAAACAGTTTTATGGTAGATTTTTAGCTTCTGTGCGATGTTACGACTGCTAACATGCCGGTCAACCTCGATCATTTTTCCGATTTTATCGACATTTTCAGAATGCATTTCTTTTTCCCCAACCTAATATATTCTTGATCAGCGTAAAATTCTATGACGATTTAAGCATGTCTGTCTGTCAGTCTGTTGTAATCGTCCTAGCGTCTAAACGAATTGAGATAGATCGCCGAAATTTTGCTTAGAGTTGTCTTTTGTCTGCAGGATGGTCATGTTCCAAGATGGGCTATATCGGTTCACGTTTGTCCATAGCCCCAATATTTTGGGGTTCTTGAGTGCGCTTTCAACCGAATTCGCTAAAATTTTGTACTATCGGTTCTAATTGGATATCAAATATTTCCACTAAAAATATCGGTCCACTTTTTTTGGTAGCCTCATATAACGTTACCCCCAATTTTAAGTATTTTGAGGTTCTCGAGCGCGTTTTTCAACCAAATTCGTTGAAATTGGGTACATGGGTTCTTATTGGGCACCAAATTTCCCCACCAAAAAGTATAAATATAGGTCCGAATGTTCAGTATTTTGGGGGTTTTGGTCGTATTTTTCTACCGAATTGGGTGTAATTTAGTATTTTGAGTTCTTAATAGGTACCAAATTAGGTTCATTTTTTCAGGTAGACCCTATATAAGGGTACCCCCAAATTTTCGGAGGATATCGAGGTGAAAAACGTAAGGTTCGATAATGAACTATATCGACCCGCATTTTGGCTTAGCCTCCATATAATGATAGCTAACAATTTTCGGTATTTTTAATATTTAGCCATGCAAAAATGTTAGTTTCGAAATTGAGTTATATCAGTCTTCAATTAGGCATAGCACCTCATATAATGATAACTACAAATATTCCGTAATTCCTACACGATGTAATCAAATTGGTCCCGCCATTTGGTATAGAATTTGCTATGTTCCTTATTCGTTTTCCTTGCTTTTTCATAGTAAGAGGGGTTTTCCGAGTGTGGGCAACTAACCCGACGCCTCAACCCATTTTTTATAGTTCATATGAGTGAACTCGGGGCACATATAGGTGAACTCGCGGCACATATTAGCTCACTATTTCAACGGGTGATGAAAATAGCTACCCCAGGTGACACCGCGGTTAGGTCAGTGTCCACAATTGAGATAAAAGAGGGACGAAGAAAAGCCTAGGCTTCGCCATGTTAAAGCCAATCAGAGCAGTTGCTTGGTATTTATCATCCCCTACGACATCCCTTATGACACCCCTACGACAAGACGTCCAGTAGACTCGGATCAACTGTGGAACTTGAGAACTACAACTTCGAGGTAGTTAAAGATTTTATATACCTTGGTACCGCCATTAATAAAACGAATGACATCAGTTTTGAAATTCGTAGAAGGATTGTGATGGCCAACAGATGCTACTATGGTCTAAGTAAGCAGTTTTGATACTACCCGTGCTGTTGTATGGATCTAAAGCATGGGAACTCCGATAAATCTACGGGCCGACCTACGTCGACGGTGAATATCGGAGTCGAATGAACCACGAGCTTTACAATTTATACTCGGACATCGACATAGTCAGTCGTATTGAGCTGCAGCGACTACGATGGCTAGGCCATGTTGTGCAAATGAATGAGAATGTCCCAGCTCAAAATGCATATAAATGCGAGCCTACTGATGGTTCCCGCAGAAGGGGAAGGCCACGAATCAGATGGAAAGACCAAGTAGAAAACAACATCCTGCAACGTGGTCTTTCAAATTGGAGGAGATGTGTACAAGACCGACGCGCTTGGAAATCGTTTTTAAGTTCGTTCTGTAACAAGCCAGCTATGTAAGTAAGTATGTTCCTTATATTTTCATTTCAAGAACCTGTCAGAATCCAAAGTCCGGCCCGACAGAACTTAACGCTTTTTTCACTTGTTCAGTTTCAAAAAGACTGCAACCTGGATCAGCTGCGACCATAGAACTTCTAGAGATAGGTGAGTGGACAGTTGAATAGATGCTGTGTATCGTGCAGTCGGGCCCATTTAAGGCGATTGTAGCGAATTAAGGCGATTGTAGCATTCTGATTTTAGTTGAGTTAAAACCACACACGTTTGCTGCTAAGAAGGGTGTTGGAATCTATGAACTGCATTCTCATGATATTGGTATATAGTCTGGATCATTTTTTCCGTGTGAATGCTATTCATCCCTGCTCGATAGGGCTGTTGATCTAGGCAACTCCGTTGGACTTCGCTCTACATCGAGAGATAATAGCACAGTCACAAATGAACCTGTCCCAAACATCTCACCAAAGTTATACTGTGGAAGATGTGGTTCTGACAAATAGTTATATTCTACCCCATCCCGAACTAAAAGTGTTCGGAGTAGGACCTCCGGTATATAATGTCTCTCCCATACTTTAAAAACACTACACGAACTTGTAGTAGTTTAGAGGCAGGCCCTTGTCGGAATATCTGCGTATTTCCGGCATACCCCATTCAACCAGATGACGAATATAATGCATTAAACATTGGTTAATAAATAAAGGTAACATTAATAAATAACTGTTTTTATTAGTTTAGAATGTAGTATATCTGGATAATATAATATATAATTCATATGTCATAATATATCAATACATAGGGGTCTTCGTATCCTTCCTCTCTAATAAGTACTTGAATATGATATGCATTTAAGCCCAGATTAGTTTGTTCATGTACAGAATAGTGTTAGCTGCGTAACATTCTTCAACTTATATTTTATATAGAAATACATGGAGATTTAATTGTTCTCTAGAAAAACAAGGTTTTCCTCTTAAATTATAATAATTAATCGAATTTCTTTATTCTCTGCTCAAAATAACAATCAATTCTCGTGAATAAAATCAAATAAATTATTATATCACTCAAAATGTTCTTCGAATTTTCTTATCACAATCGAATACAAATGATGAATATGCACATAAATACGCGTTAATGTAAAGAATTTATTTTCTTCGAAAAAGCCAATGAATAATTTGTTTTAGACTATAAATATTTTTTATACCACATTCAAAACAAACAAGAAACGCATAGAAATAATTATGATATAATCGTAGTCCAAATACCGTAGAATCAACGCCGAAAATGTGGTTTTATACAATTGTAGAAATATAGAGATCCAATCCCCAATTTACTCCTATGTATTTACAAAAAAATCCACGCATATTATTTTTTATGTCGGTTTATTTCCCATAAAATCCTTATACTCCTAAAACTATAAATACATGTACATATATAATTCTAATAATCTGCCGCAGTATTCGAAAGATAATCTCTTCGTCCAATATTTGATGCCTGTTTGCTTTGAATTGCCTCCAATTTTGGACAATCGGTAATACGATGACCCAAACCACCACAATAACTGCAACCATGTGAATCGCCCAAATCCAAATATTGTTCCGATTCTGGGCACAGTTCCAACAGAAAATCTGGCACATTTTGTTTAGCTTCAATTAGTAGATGTTTCAAATCTAATAATACCGAAGGATCAGTCGTTTTATTTACAAATGTTGTAGCTAAACCTTTAGTATTTGAACGACCGGTACGACCAATACGATGTACATAATTTTCAATATCTTCAGGCATATCGAAATTAATGACATGTTGAACATTGGGAAAATCTAAACCTTTGGAGGCCACGTCAGTGGCAACTAAGACATCTTTTTGAGCTTCTCTGTAAGCATCAACAGCACGTGAACGTTCTTCTTGATCTTTACCACCATGAATTGCTACCGCTTCGACACCTTTCAACAGCAAATATTCATGGATGCAATCAACATCTTGTTTCTTTTCGGCGAAAATCAATACAGGTGGTGCTGTTTTTTGTAAACATTCCAATAGATATACAACTTTAGCCTCTTGTTTGACATATTCCACTTCTTGGGTAACATTCATTGATGCGGCACCAGCACGACCAACATTTATTGTTACCGGCTTCACCAAAGCTGATATGGCGAAATTTTGAATTTTCTTTGGCATAGTAGCTGAGAAAAGTAATGTCTGTCTTTGTGCCTTAAAGAATGAGAAAATTGTACGTACATCTTCTTCAAAACCCATATCAATCATACGATCAGCTTCGTCCATGCACAGATAACGACAAACATCCAACGTGACAATTTTCTTTTCCAACATATCCATAAGTCGGCCGGGAGTTGCAACCATAATGTGTACACCTTTTGATATAATATCGATGGCTTCCGAAACTGGTATACCGCCGATGGCTAGACACGAACGTATTTCAGGCATACCCGATTCAACCAAATGGCGACTATAATGCTGTAAGAATAGTATAAGAAAAAATATATTGATTAACAATAGTGGAAAAAACTTTTTTCTGTGGGAAGATGTTTTGAATGTCTTATATATCTTCTATGTTTGATTCGAGAAGCAAAGCTAACTACCACCGAACATAGCAATATTCATGGAAAGATGGAGTCTTAGACTAAATGTCCAAACACCAATAACCACTGCCACACAAAGGTAACAAGTAAGCAATACGAGTGTTATGCGATATGTTATTCATATGGCGCACTATAAAAAAGGAATCACTTGGCTTCTGAAATGACTCAAGTCATTTCATTTGAGTAAAAAAGTCTTGGTCAATGATGGTCAAATCTTGCTTATGGAAGCCGTCGAATTTTGAGAATAAACATAGAAATATGAGTTGATTTATGCATGTCCGTCTGTCCATGTATTATTGTGAACAATGTACATGTCGCCTTTATGATCCGACTTGGATGAAATTTGGCACAAGTCACTTATTTGGGTGAAGGGCGAACCCTATTAGAATTGAAGAAAATCTGTTCAGATTTAGATATAGCTTTCATATATATTTTCGTCCGATTTTATCTAAATGGTGCACCAAACTCCCAATATTTGTCTGATTCAGTAAAAATTTTGCAAAGCGGACTGTTAAGTCCCGTTTGATGTCTGTGAAGTTTTGTTGAAATCGGTTCAGATTTAGATATAGTTTCGTCCGATTTAATGTAAATGGTGCACCAAAGTCCCAATATTTGTCCTGTTGAGTAAAAATTTTGCACAGCGCACTATTAAGTCCAGTTTGATGTCTGTGACGTTTTGTTGAACTTTAGATATAGCTCCCATATATAATTTCTCCCGATTTTATGTAAATGGTGCACCAAACTCCCAATATTTGTCCGATTGAGACAAAATTGTACGCACCATGTTAATGCAGTTCTTATCATCAACATACATATATAAAAAATCCACATAGACATTTGAATTAAGTGTAAATGAAATTTTTATAATAATTATTATAAAAATTTCATTTACACACTTACCATAATAATATCATTAGTTTGTTTTGCCAATTCACGCGATGGACAAATAATCAAACCATATGGTCCTTCATTACGTGCAAATTGCAAACGATACTCCTGCTCCAGAGCAAACATAATAATGGGCAAAACAAAGACCAATGTTTTACCCGAACCGGTAAAAGCAATACCAATCAAATCTCGTCCCGAAAGTACTGTGGGTATTCCTTGCACCTGGATAGGTGTTGGCTTTTTAATACCCTTCGCCGCCAAGCCGTTCAATATACCCTTAGGAAATTTCATTTCCTTAAAGCTACGTATTGGCGGTGCAACATCTACACCTTCCACTAATATCCTTAAACGTTTTCGGATTGCATTACGTTTCTGTTCCGTCATTTCCATAATATAACGTGGTGGTTTCCAGCTTGTCTTAATCGGTTCATCATACTGTATACCCTTGGCCAATTCAGCTACACCCATGAGAGCTTTCTGTTGTTGGACACTCTCGAGAATTTTCTCTTCTTCTTTGAGTTGCTTTTCGACATCACTTATCTTTTTCGCTTCGGCAATTTTCTTTAGCTCCGTATGTTGATCCAATAAACTAATGTTATATTTACGTCCCCACACTTCAGGATCTGTGGCATTTTGTGAATCTTCATCGTTTTCATTTTCACTTGATGATTTGGGTTTAGCATCTTCGGTGGACAGTTGGACTATGCGACCCAATTTCATTAGTTGTTTCTTTTTGCGTTCCTTTACTGGAACATATGGTACATACTTGTCATCGTCTTCTTCAAAGTCGGATTTTTCTTCTTCCTCTCTGCGGTAACGTTTTATGGGAGGATCTGAAGTTGATGCGGACATTTTAATTTAATTTTTCAGGATTACTGAAAAAACTATGCTCTGTAAAACGTTTTCCAAATGCTTGTTTATAATTAGTTTGTTTACTAACATCAGCTGTTTTTGTAATGTTGCCAACGAATATTATGATTAGGCCATTACGCATTGTTGCCACAGGGATTAACACATAAATAACTGTTCTCGTGTTTCAATAAAAATTTGAAACCGGCACAGTTTTTCGTCATTTACCATACAAAAATAAATGGCGATTCCAGCGTTATTTATTTTAAATAATGCACTAAAAACCCATACTTTGATATACAATCCTGTTTTTGTGTCATAAAGTACTAAAAGTTGCAACTGTTCTCATTAAACTAGTCGTTCCGTGCATGGCACAATGAATAGGTAGTCCATTTAGAGCAGCTGATGTCTTGATTAACTGTCAAAGTGCGTAAATTCTACATGAATTCGATGTGCAATGTTGCCAACCATGTGAAATATTATAAAGAAAAATTTGACAGATAATCGAGACAAAAACAAAAGTTTTTGTTTTGATACATCACCTTATTATTGCATCATGGAATAGGTAGTCCATTTAGCGCAGCTGATGTCTTGATTAACTGTCAAAGTGGGTAATTTCTACTTGAATTCGATGTGCAGTGTTGCCAACCATTTGAAATACTATATGGAAAAATTTGACAGATAATCGAGACAAAAATCAGAGGTTGTTGTTGTGATACATCACCTTATTATTGCATCATGGTTTCGTGCGTATTAACTAACTACACTTTTTAATATTAAATTAAGCACTAAGCGGCCAAAATTATCTTCTCTTTTTCAGATGATTTTCAATTAAGATAAACCCGAAACTTGTTTGAGGAAATAAAAACCCATTGAAACCCACTGGGTTTACGAAATTCGGTTAAATGTAAACGTACTATGACAGTCAATTTAAATGATCTTAAAGCCAGTGTACATAATCTTCATTTATTTTCAGAATTTCGTAAATCCACATCATATAAAGTGCGTATGTAAATGCGCTATAGTCATAACACGCCATTTCACTGTCACTACATATTCGAAACAATCTGGCAACTCTGTTAATTAATAAATAACCAGCCGTCATATCAATTCACGCGTAGTCTTTGTGGCATAGTTTTTCATTTTCGTTTTGTATATAATTTATATGGAGAAAAAATCGTGAAAAGTGTTGAAATATTTAAGCAACCATTAGTAAAATAACCCAAAGCGAAAATGTCTATGTCCAAGACGACCAACACCTATAATCGGCAGAATTGGGAGGATGCTGAATTTCCTATATTGTGTCAGACTTGTTTGGGCGATAATCCATATGTTCGTATGATAAAAGAACGCTTTGGCAAAGAATGTAAAATATGTACACGGCCATTTACCATATTCAGATGGTGTCCAGGAGCCAGAATGCGTTTCAAGAAAACTGAAATCTGTCAAACATGTGCACGTCTAAAGAATGTATGCCAAACCTGTCTACTCGATTTGGAATATGGCCTGCCTATTCAGGTGAGAGATGCTGCCCTCAAGGTGGCTGATAATTTACCTCAAAGTGATGTCAACAAGGAGTACTATATACAAAATATTGATCGTGAATTGCAAGATGGTGATGGCACTGAGGCGGCCGGAAAAGTTGGAAAATCTCTGGCTGCTAGTGATATGCTGTCGAAATTGGCACGCACAGCTCCCTACTACAAACGTAACAGACCACATATTTGTTCATTTTGGGTTAAGGGTGAGTGTAAGAGAGGTGAGGAGTGTCCTTATCGGCATGACAAACCTAATGAACCCGACGATCCACTATGCGAACAAAATATCAAGGATCGTTATTATGGACGTAATGATCCGGTGGCTGAGAAAATTATGAAGAGAGCAGCTTCTCTGCCGACACTGGAGCCACCAGAGGATCGCAACATTACTACATTGTATGTGGGTAATTTACCCGAAGATATTACTGAACCCGAGTTGAGAGATCATTTCTATCAATTTGGTGAAATACGTTCAATAGCTTTAGTTCCACGCCAACAATGTGCATTTGTACAGTACACAAAACGTTCAGCTGCTGAATTGGCTGCAGAAAAGAGTTTCAACAAGTTAATTTTGCAAGGCAAGAAGGCCACAATTAAATGGGCACATTCCCAAGCTAAGCAAGGAGCGGCCAAGACCGATCGTCGTTTTGAGTTGAATGCTATACCACCCGCCACCGCTACAAATCCAAATGATTTCTTTAATTTACAACAAGAACAAGTTACCGTACTACCTCCCGGGATGAAGTTGCATCAAATACCACCATCGCTAATACCCGCCTCATCATATCAGCAGCTATACTCACAGGCCTATGCTGCGCCATATTCAATGCCAATGGCTTCAACATCTGCTGCAGCTGCGGCAGCATCGGCTGCCTCAACATCATTAGATTCCATACCACCACCGCCGGGTATAGCTGGTGGGGCTCCTGGACAAGTGCATTATCCCAGTCAGGATCCAAGTCGTTTGGGGGCAGTGAAAAAATAAACTATAACTGGCGTTTCAGGAATCAACTACTACTGTATATAGCATTGTTACATATGCTTGTGGAAATTTAAAAAGAAAGAAAATAAAGACGATTTTAATATGAAATTAATTATTCAAATGTTTATTTGAAAATTTGCTTACAGAATACTTTTCTTAACATTTTCTATGTAGCTATGACAAATCTTTTAATTAACGCAGCAAATTAAACTTATTTCTAAGGCATTTACATATTTCTTTGCAAATATGCTGTGTTTACAACTATCTACAGGGTCAGGGTCTCGGTGTGATCAGGAAATAATTCACTTTTAGACTGTGGCACCTGTACCAAATATCTATCCATAAAACGTGGATTTTTGTTGATGAGCACTTCGTGCAATATTTGATTATCGGTGATGGTCTTTTTGGTAATAATCAAACGTCGTTGTTCTCCCTGGCCATAACTTGAAGACCGCAAGTTGAAATTTTTCGCAATTCTATAAAATGGAGAATGGGAGGCATAGAAATTAGGAAAACGTATACAGAAATATTTTCTGACCAACTTACTCATGTAGCAATGCTCTTTCTTCTTTGGTAAAGGTTGGTTCAAATTGCAATTCTCGTATATCCTCTGATTCAACATAGTTTCTCAATATGTTTTTAAAATATTGTTTATCCATTTTACAATCTTCCTTTCCCAAACCGGAACGATTACTTTTAAACAAGTAACTGTAGAAAAAAAGATAAGTTTATTGGTTTGAATTATGACGAATCTAAGTTGTGTAGATTTTTTACTTACCCAACTGGATCTTCACGTCCTTGTTTTTTTGAGCCCAAACCACCACCTGACCAACCCATCATTTTCATCATTCTAAAACCTTTGTTGTTATCGTCCAATTTCTTATCTTCAGATGCTGCATCCACTTCACTACTTATAACCTCACAAACAGCTTTGTTGTTGTCCTTCTCAATTTTAATTGTTTTTCTGCCGGGATTTTGCTAAAAAAAACAGTTTGAAAATATTTATGAATGAGAAATGAAATTACATACTCAAATTGTAAACTTCGGCTAAGACCTTTAACATACATATGAGGGATATTCAGAACATATTGTTCATTTTCTCCGAAGATGTTTCTAACAAAACAAAATAACGACACTTTGCTCGTTACAAGAACATGGCATTCCGGACAAATTATAACCTCTCCTATTGCAAAATGCAATTCAAGCATTAAAACTACCGAAAATAGGCCGGTAACGCACATGGGACCCATTCTTAAACGTGGGCAGATATATCCAATTTTCAATACCAAACATCCTAGGAGATGTAGTAAAGTGAGTTTACAATTTCAAAGCTCTTTCTTAAATGTTACGATCTGTATATGACAACGGACGGACATGGGGAAATATTTCGACCACAACAAAGGAGATCAGAAGGCATCCCTTTAAACGGGGGTGTTGGGTGCATTGGCTATTTAAATTTAAGTGTGGTTTACCCTTCACCACACTGTGGTACAGGGTATTATGTCTTTGTGCATATGTTTGTAACAGGCAAAAATAATCGAGATAGACCCATGGTTCCTTTTGAGAATATGCATAGAATAACTTTCTGAGTCGATTTATGCATGTCCGTCCGTCCGTCCATGTATTTTTGTTAACAAAGTACAGGTCGCATTTATGATCCGATTTGGATGAAATTTGGCACAGGTCACTTCATTGGCCCAAGGACGAACCCTATTGAGAGAAAATCGGTCCACGTTTAGGCATAGCTCCCATATAAGGGTACCCCAAAATTTTCGGTATTTTGAGGTTCTTGAGCGTGTTTTTTAACTGAATTCGCTGAAATTTGGTACTTTGAGTTCTTATTGGGTAGCAAATCTCTCTACCAAAAATTATAAATAAAGGTCAATTTTTTCGGATAGCCCACATATAAGATTACCCCCAATTTTCGGTATTTTGGGGGTTTTGATCGCATTTTACGACCGAATTCGCTGAAATTTGGTGCTTTGTGTTCTTATTGGGTAGCAAATCTCCCTACCAAAAATTATAAATAACGGTCCATTTTTTCGCATAGCCCCCATATAAGGGTACCCCCAAATTTTCGGTATTTTGAGGTTCTTGAGCGCGTTTTCCAACTGAATTCGCTGAAATTTTGTACTTTGAGTTCTTATTGGGTAGCAAATCTCCCTACCAAAAATTATAAATAAAGGTCCATTTTTTCGGATAGCCCCCATATAAGATTACCCCCAATTTTCGGTATTTTGGGGGTTTTGATCGCATTTTTCGACCGAATTCGCTGAAATTTGGTACTTTGTGTTCTTATTGGGTAGCAAATCTCCCTACCAAACATTATAAATAAAGGTCCATTTTTTCGGAAAGCCCCCATATAAGGGCACCCCTAATTTTCGTTATTTTCGGGTTTTTGGGCTCGTTTTATAACTGAATGAGCTGAAATTTTGTACATTGGGTTCTTATTGGGTACCAAATTACTCCACTAAAAATTATAAATATAGGTCCAGTTTTTCTGGTAGTACCCATTTAACGGTACCCCAAAATTTTTGGTATTTTGGGGTTCTGATCGGATTTTTCGACCAAATTGACTGAAATTTAGTACGTCGAGTTCTTATTAGGTAGCACATCTCTCCACTATAAATTATAAATATTTATTATATTATTTTGAGGTTCTTGAACCAAATTTTTTCTGGTACAGGGTATTATGTTTTTGTGCATATGTTTGTAACATGCAAAAATAATCGAGATAGACCCATGGTTCCTTTTGAGAATATGCATAGAATCACTTTTTGAGTCGATTTAAGCACGAAATTTGGCACAGCGTAGCAAATTAGGTCTAGAATGATGTGTGTAAAGTTTCCTGAAAATCGGTTCAGATTTATATATAGCTCCCACATATACTTTCGTCAGATTTAATGTAAATGGTGCACCAAAGTCCCTATATATCTTTCGATTTGCACGAAATTTGGCACAGCGTAACAAATTAGGTCTAGAATGATGTGTGTTAAGTTTCCTGAAATCGGTTCAGATTTAGATATAGCTTCTATATCTGACCAAATGAACAATTTAGTATCGGTTGCAGAATGAGGTGTTTATGGTTCCAATTTAATTTTACTGGTCCTTTAAAAATGCGACTTCTGTTAGGATTCATCTGTTGAATATACCCAAGGTGGTGAAGGGTATCATATAGTCGGCCCCGTCCGACTTTACTACTTTCCTTACTGGTTTTTGTATTGAAAGCGTTTCATTTTTTCTCATTTCCTCATTAATGTTAATGACAGTATAAAAAGCCAGATAAGCAAGGTGCTAGGGTAATTAATGTATGACACTCTACAGAAATAACGAGAGAGAGCATAAAGCTGCTAACGGTAGAGGACAAAAATTGAGGAATATGATATGAGGGAGGAAAATGTGTGCAATGGATGAGTCCAAGAACTTTTCTACTTACCTTTATACTATAACATTCCGTTTGCAACGTCTCCAATGCCTTATTAAATGCATTTGCCTTGGCAGTCTTTAAGTTTTCTCCTGTTGCAACGGCCACAACTTGATTATTAAGGCGGACTTCGACTTTCCTAAAACACAAGAATCATATTCGTGTCACAAAACCACATTAAAAATATCCAATAAACCACCTACTTGATATTATTTTCAGCGGGAACTTCTTTTTCTTCATACAACACATTGCTACGCTGGGCAGAAAGTTGCAGACATTGACGTCCGCCATTTAAAAATACAATAAATCGATTATATTTTAGACCAGCAAATAAATCTGTTTGTGGTGTCTTCTTCGCTGGTGGTGCTTGCATTTCGTCCATATTATCCCCGCCTATATCAAAATGTTTTCTCTTTTGACCCTGTAATTGTTGGGTATTTTGACCCTCGTTTGTTTGCTGCGTCGATCTGCGTCCTAAAATATTGGCACAAGAAATACGCATTCGTTCAATCGTTAGACATATCCATTTCTAGGTCTACTAGAACTACTACTCACTTATTTGTACTTAAAAATAAACATAAAATTTGAATAGCTTTGTTAATTGTTTTTACGTCTACCTTTAGCCCGGGCCTCGGCAGCATCGGAGGCCGCAACAAATGTCCGTTTTAGACGATTTGCTCTGCCCTCACGGAATTCTTTGGCCACTTCTTTAGATAGTTCTGCCACCATTGCCATTGTTTCGGCGGGATATTTACAACCCATAAATTCCATATTTGTGAAGACCTGAGCCAAACAGACCAGCTTATCTTCGGGAAATTTGTCCTTGTGTACTTCCATGAAACGTTTCCTCAGCAACCAATGTTCTTCACTTTCATATTCTCGGCGGTAAACTTCCACATCCCAATCTGTGGGAAATTCCGAATCGTTTTGTTGTTGCTGGTCATTTGTTTGTTGTTGGTCAGATTCTGTGTCGGAACTTTGTTTCGCTTTCTTTAACTTTTTATCTTTTTTCGACATATTTTTGTGGGAGAAATGTGGAAGCACGTTTAGAAAAATTTTATAAAAACGCTACACTGATATATGTATGTATCGTGGTGCTGTCAAAACATGAAAAACAAACAAAGATGCCACATGACAATGTCAAAACATAAACGAACACAAAGAGATGCCACGTAAATAAATGAGGTACAAGTGTGTACAAATACATGGTATTGTGAATACACAAGACATTCATAGGCAGAAGTTTAAGATTGGATTCTTAGCGTGAGAAAGGGAGTTTCCCATGGCATAATTATATATTTTGTAAACATGAACATTGCTCTTAAGATTTACATCTTATGTCTATAATTTTTAGATGCAGGGAACTTAAAAATATTTATAAATATAAAGTATTTAGCAATTGTTGCCACTGAAAACATGATATGCGTACGTTTCGAAGGGAGATATTTTCATTAAAAATTTTAATGCTGAATATTGCCAATGGCAAATTTATGAAAATTGGAAACATATGACTGCATGAGACTATTTGGATACAACAAATAAGGTAACCTTTTGTTTTAAAAAACATTTTCCGAAAACTATGAAAGCTGGATAATGCAATTTTTAACTCGGATTAGGCAGCCGCGCGAATTTAAATCATTCAATAAATATTTATCAATTAATAATAACATTAAACCTTTCTAGAAAGAACGTAATGCTTTCTTCATCGTCCACATAAAATATATACATATATGGCAGTGAAATAAAATAAATTCGTTGCCGATTTTTTATAAGTGCTCAATGTGTTTTATTAAGTGTTAAGGGTTAGTGTTCCATCTGGAGGTATTCTTATAGACGAGTTTGGGTCTTCTTATACGAGATATGGAAGTCTTCTTATAGAGGAGCTGGATGTATTTTTATAGAAGAGAGGACTTCTTATAGAAGACATGGATATCTTATTACCGTAGAGCTCGAAATAATCTTATTGAAGAGTTGAAAGAGATTGAACGTGCGGGTGTGAGGTTCACCAATTGCCTTTATGAATTGGATGCAAACCGTGTGGGTGATGCGTTTGCCTTGGAGCAAGAATCAGTGGTCGAATTTAAAGCCAGTCGAAGGTTATTACTTTTGGGCACGTTGATTCTGGCTGCTGGGCCTTAAACGGTATGTTAAAATGCGGTACAAATTGACCAACAGAAGCAGGTAAACATCCCTTCTTTTGGCACGTGTACGCTAAATTTAACCGAAGAGCTGATTGCATTCATATAAAGGACGTAATAATATTCTTATAGATGCAGCAAATGACTTCATAAAAAATAGCTGAAGGTCTCCTTAATTCAAAATGCTTATGTTGGGTTACCTCTCTGTTCCCATCGCCTCTTTTCGGAGAAATATTTAATGCACATAATTAAATATTCTTTATTTTATTTTTCGAACAAACGAAATGAAACACAAAAATGAAACAAAAGTTCCGTTCCAGAACCTAAAAGAATCTACTCATTTTACATGTTTTACAACTTTTTACTCGAAAACCGTTCCTCAACCCTAAAAACTTGTAAAACATCGAATCAAATTTAAGAGAGCACAAAACAAAATGGCGTTTTGTATTAAAAAAGTACTGGAACAGACAGAAACATTTTTTTGTTTTTATGACATTCAATAACAATAACAACATTCATGTTGTATCAGACGTGCTCAGGTACAAAAAGCACACTGTTGGATTCAAATTTTCGAAATGAGACTACCTTTATTATTTTGCCATGGGAGTTTCCCAAGGTGATATTTATACAAGGTAACTACAAAACCTAGCTGATTTGATTCCAATTTAATATTCGTGTTAATATGACAAAATATGCTTTTAAAAATAGCCCAACTGCAAAATTTGGTACACATAAACTTTGAAATGGTTATTCATTAGGGTCGTACCTCACCTCAAAAGTTAAATACATGTATTTCAATGAATGTTACCCAAATACGCATTGCGTATAAAAATATAAAGTTGAAATTTTTCAACATTGACAATGCGTATTTTGGATTATTAGGTTTTTTGTTTTTTTTTTTGTGTTTCTATAAAGCTAAACATTTTTCGATCAATTTAAAACGTGTTTTCATCCATTTTCACCGTTTTCAATTGGCACAGATGCAAATAAAATCCTTGCGTATTTGGGGAATACGGACGTCTAACAAACACTATAAAGGTTAGAAGGTGAGTATTTTTATACGGAGCGCAATAAATTAGGTACGACCCTTAAATGTTCTCCCTATTTAATTTACTTAGTCTATCAGAGGCAGTAGATCTTTTTTCATGGAATAATTCGCAATCTCAGCATTTTCATATGCGTTACACATAATACTGGAAATGGCTGAATTAGAGGAAGGATATTCAAGCGATAGAAATAAATAAATAATTGTCAAATAACTCCTCACGATAGCAAAGGGTCCAATTTATGTACAGCTGCGAATCAATTAAACAGTAGCGTACTTTATTCATGCAGTTCTCTTACATTTTTCCAAAGCTTTTAATATCATTTTAAAAATTGTGTATTAAAAAAGTAGAAATTCATTTCACTAAAATCGTTTTATTTTATTTTTTTTAATATCTTGGCATTGTACTGCGAACATTGCTATGCAATTTCTTTTATGCTTTTCACAGCATACTTTTAGGCGTGATATTATCATTGACACAATCCCATGGTAAATTAACACAGCAACAAATCATTTTACCCAACCATGGAAATCCATTTAGAAGAAAAACTAAATGATTAACCGGTATTCGCATTAACCGATACTTTTACAACAATATTACTTTCTATTTTTTGGTGATTTGATTGCGTTGAGAAAACACCTAAAAATTTTCACCAAATAAGCAAAAAAACAGACCACAGAAGTCATTAGAATTTATAAAAAATTATATTTCTAATACATTGGTTAGCATTTCAAAGGTTCGTATTCGAAATAAATCGAAAGTGATTATGTAAATATTCTGGGAAAAAATTAAAAATAAAATTTCAGTCTAGATAGAAGAAGCCGTGTGACACACTAGAGAGAATAGTTGAAAAATCGAAGCGATAGCAAAGTAATGGCCGATGTTGAAAATGTCTCGCAAGCAGCTGCGCCAGCAACCGCAGCGCCTGTGACCGTCACGAATTCCAGCGCGGCTGATGCCGCCGGTTCGCTGGGAACAAATGGTAAGATGGAGGGTGGGGTGCAATCAGACGGTAATGCTACATCTAATGATTTAGGAACCTCCCCGACACAAGAAAAATCGAGCAATTCACATCCCCACGATTCGGAATATGATACAGCCAGTGATCTGGAGGGTGGGGAGGAATATGATGACGATGATGATGATTTGGATGATAGTTTATCCGATGAGGATGATGACGAGGACGACGAATCGGAAACTGATGATGATGATGAGGACGACGATGAAGGTGTCGAAGGTGACATGACTTCCCAGGAGAAAGTCGATGCTGAAGCTCAGAAAAAAGTCGATGAAGACAGAAGTAATCCACAATACATTCCCAAAAGGGGTACATTTTATGAACATGACGATCGTACTGCTGAGGATGGTGAATGTATTGAGGTGGAGGGCTCTGAAGATGCCGATGGCCAATCAACCGCAAACGGCGGTGGTAGTAATGCTGGAGGATCGAAGACAACACCCACAATCTCGACAGCTTCGAAAACTATGAAGAAATGGCAGCCTGCTTCTGCTGTCGACCGCTGGTCACATGATCGTTTCGATCCATCGGAACAGGCGCCTAAGTCCAGGACAGAGCTGGTATCTGCCTATGGTTATGACATACGCACCGAGGATGCACCGCCAAAGGCACGTAGAAGACGTCGGTATGGTCGGGGACCCAGTAAATATAATCGCAATTGGGAAGACGAAAGTGCCTACCTTAAGACAAATAATAAGGAACGCAAGCCTCCAAAGCCATCCGATTTCCCAGCTTTAAATGAAAATTCTGGAAAATCACGTCGTTCATCCGGCCGGACACGGGAAGAGAAAGAAAATCGTATGGAAAGGCGTCAGAGAGAGGGAAAGTCTGATAGATCCGAAAGACAGAGTCATTCACGGAATAATCATCAGGATGATTATAACGATCGAAGAGACCGGATTGGTGAAGGTGGCGTACACAAAAGGTCTAAATCAAAAACAAATTTCAATCGCCAAAATCAGGCGTCTGTTGGTCGACAAGCGGCTATGGAATTTAAGCAGAAAAATCGCCAACCTAATCAGAATTCTTCTGGTTCAGGCAACCAAGGAGGCCAGGGCAGCAGTCTGAGTAGTCGCCTAGAAGCTCACCGACAACCAAATTCAAATCAGCATCAGGGTCAGCATATTAATAAAAGTCCCTCTGGTAATTCGGGAATGGGTAAATCACAGCAAAGTCAGGTCTCATCTCAGCAGCAACATAATGATAACTATAATAACAAGAAGAAAAATTACGATCAAGGTCATCAATCATCTTCACAGGGATCTCCTCACAATGCTGCTCCACAGCAGCAGCAGCAACAACAGCAGTTGCACCAACAGCAACAGTCTTCGTCAAATCATAATGTGGTGCGACAGCAAAATGCTCAGCAAATGCAACCAAAGCCACAGCCAACAATGCCGTCAACAAACTTGTCACAGCGTTTGCAGCAAGTCCAAAATCGTAATGATCCGAGCCATGTGGGAAGTGTGCAAATGCATGCCTTAGCATCACAGAATCAGCAGCAGCAACAACAGCAGCAACAGCTCTTACAACACCAACAAGCAGCCAATATGATGATGGCTGCACCACAAAATCTAAGCCAGGCACAGGAACAAAGAGGTCCACCAAAACGTTATTCAAGTCTGCGTCGCTCTCAGCATGAAGCCCAGCACATGGGAGAACATCAGCAAATGCAACAGATGCATATGCAACAGCAACAAGCTGCTACGCCACCCGCGATGTTGATGCCCTCCGAACAAGCAATGCTTCAAGCGAATCTCATGCAAATGTATCACCAGGAGAATTTGCAAGCTCAAATGCAAGCATTGCAGGTGTCCCAGCAAGCAAATGTTCCCAAACAGGCCACATATGCCAGTGCAGGACCTCAGGCGCAACCACCAGGACCATACACTGGTACAGCGACAACACCAACAGCATATTATGTAGCACCAGATGCATATACAGCAGCATCTGCGGCTCAGGCCACTCAAGCCGCGGCCACTTACGCTGCTCAACAGGCAGCACCCAATTATATGGCTCAACAAGCGACCCCAGCCTCATTGGCGGCTTATGCCAATGCAGCCCCAGCACCCCAACAGACTGTGCCCACATCAGCTTTTGGTGCTGCAGCAGGTGTTGGCGTAGTGCCCCAACCGAATCCTGCAGCTACAGCAGCCGCAAATTATCAGAATTACAATACGGTAGGCGGTACAACGTACTTTGTACCGCCACCAACACAAACCACTAACCGACCCGTTTCGTTGCCCCAAAGAAGACCTACTAATGCTATACCCATACTGCCACCATCCGACAAGAACAAGCCACCAGCCACAGCTGCTCAACAGAAGGCAACCGAATCAAAAGACGAGACAAAGTCAATTTCGTCGTCATCAAATGCCACAGCATCAGCGCCCATTGGTAGTGCTGAAAATATTGATCATATCATTGATAATATGTTTGTCCAAAGACCGGCGTTTCAACCGCCTGCAAATGCTGCTGCTGCCGCCACCACCGCCTCCGCTGCTAATACCAAATCAATGATAAATGAATCGACAGAATCAAATTCAAATTCCACAAATCCTGTTGGTGCTTCTTCCACACAGCAAGATAATAGCAATGCGGCGGCACCTCAGGCCACCAGTGATAAACTCACAAATGAAGCGGCGACATCATCGTCGACAGAAGTTAGTAACAATAATCCAATATCGACACAAGAATGAGAACAAAAGAAACGTTACTATTATAATACCCAGTATAATAATCAGCAACAACACCACAATCATCATCATCAGCAGCAGCAACAGCATCATACTCATCATCAATCACAACAACAGCAATCAATACATCAACAATCGACTCAAAATCCACAACAACAACCAGATCATCATATTAATAACAACAAAAACGTAAATTTATTAAATAATAACAAACGTAAATTTTATTAGAGGAAAAAAATCAAGTATAAGAAAAAAAACAAAAACATAATTACTAAAACTGGGGTAAAACAAACTCAAAATATAACAACAATTGCATGAAATGAAGTAAATATTTAACAGAAGAATATTAACAATTTTACTAATTACATACACATATTTAATTTATATAATTTATTGAAAATATACTAGATATTTTTCGTTTTACTTTTTTTTGAATAATCAAAAAATATTGCTCACAAATAATAATGGTATTACTAGAAATTTGTTGTTTTAATTACCAATGGTTGGTTTCCCTAAACAAATAAAAATTTGTTTTTTGATATTCGAAAAAAAAAATATTATTTCTCTTGTTGATTCGAGTGAATAATTGTTTAAATTATACAAATATGAAATGAATTTTGTTTTCAATATGTATCTTTGAAATGCTACATAATCTGGTTTTGACTTAATGAAGAATATGCCTAAAAAAATCATAGGTAAATAAATAATTCTGTCCAATTTTGAAACAAATGAAATACCTTTATTATTTGTAGGCAATTTTAGTAAGAAAAAAGTCTGTTAAAAGTATTTATTTGAATTTCACAGCTTAGAACATTTCTGGTTTTTTTTGTTTTGTAACGTTTTTTTTTTTTTTGATAAATTGAGATACATTTCCTGAATATGAAAATTTCGAATTTCTAACTTTGCTGTATCAATTGTGTTGTCGTCAAACAAACTATAAAAATATGAATATCAGATTATGACATCATAATTAATATACCTATGTTTGAAATTTACTCCTTTTTTTCTTTGTTTTTAAATTGAATTTCGTATTTTTGATACATTAAACATTTTATACACAGAGTTAGTAGCATTTATTTCATTTTAGTTTCAGTTAAGTGTATTGTTTCCAATTGAAAATATTCTAAATTTTCATATAACATAATCAATTTATCACAAAATTGCCAAAACAATTCTTATATGTTTTGTATATGTCTAAAAGGCTGCTGTTTTTTTTTCTTCCTTTTTTAAATAAACATTTTTATTTTCTAAACTATTTTATTGTGAAATATTCAAAATTCTTTTCTTTCTAACTATTCTTATTTTAAGATCACACATTTTTTTCTTTACTCTTATTTTTGTATTGTTTTTTTACATCGAAATGAAACACAAAAAACATATATATTGTTTTTTTTTAAACTTATATATGTGTATATTTAAAACTAAACAAAAAAAAATACCTAGTTGATTTATGTATTTTAATTTTTTTATTAAAAGCTGTGCTAACGCCTCTGTATTTAGAAAAAAAAAAAACAAAACAAACCTACATACTAATAATTAAAACCATTTATTGTGAATTAGCTTTTAGCATTTTTTCTGTGAAGAGAAATACGAGAAAAAAATATGAAAAAACAATATATCGCTCATCTTTATATGTATAATTAATTAATGAAGTAACAAACAAAAAATATCTCGTACACAACCAACAACAATTTTTGAATTAAAACCGAATATAAGTGTTTTGAATTATAATGTAAACAAACAAAAAATAATAAAATGAACGATTTTAAAACGGGATACACAAGTGTTTATTTGCACAATTTTGTGAAAATTAATTTATTAGTCAATACTATGGTACGACTAACAAAAATTAATATAAATATATGACCAGACGCCAATGAAAAGGAAAATAATCGACTGTATTATTAGAAGTATCGTCCTTAGTTATAAGGCTCAACGGCGTTTAACTAAATCCCTGATATTGTGCTATTGCCATGCTTGAAACTAAGCAATTACCCCAAAAGTAATTACTCCAAATTCCCACGGGAAGCGATAGAAATGCTAGAGTGTGTCACTGTCCAGCCCGGACTTACAAGCGGCACAGACTGTGGGTGCTCATTTTCCACCGAGACTTAGCTTCTTCTCAACAACTGCTCTAATCAACTGAACTCAACTCAACTGAACCTGCTCTAATCTACATCATAATTAGAAATCTAAAGTGGTTGGGAAAGTGCAACCTTAACACGTAATATATTTTCTGTCCGATCTCTATAGCCATCAACCATATTCCAAACTTACCTTCTTATATTCTTGTATGCCTTTCATCTCTCTTTATTTCCCCAATCTTCTCTCCCCTATAAATCTCTTCTTATCTCTTTATACCCTTCACCACTCTGTGGTACAGGGTATTATGTCTTTGTGCATATGTTTGTAACAGGCAAAAGGAAACGAGATATACACATGGTTCCTTTTGAGAATATGCATAGAATCACTTTCTGAGTCGATTTATGCATGTCCGTCCGTCCGTCTGTCTGTCGATGTAAAATTGTAAACAAAGTACAGGTCGCATTTATAATCCGAATTGGATGAAATTTAGCATAGATCACTTATTTGGCCCAAGGACGAACCCTATTGAAATTGGGCAAAATCGGTTCAGATTTAGATATACCTCCCATATATATATTTAACCGATTTAATGTAAACGGTCCCTATATATCTTTCGATTTGCACGAAATTTGGTACAGCCTAATCGTTTAGGTCTAGAATGATGTCTGCCAAGTTTCGTAAAAGTCGGTCCAGATTTAGATATAGCTCCCATATATAGTTCCGTCCGATTTCATGTAAATGGTGCCCCAAAGTCCCTATATGTCTTTCGATTTGCACGAAATTTGGCATAACGTACTGAATTCAGCCTAGAGTGATGTCTGCCAAGTTTCGAGAAAATCGGTCCAGATTTAGATATAGCTCCCATATATATTTGCGTCCGATTTCATGCAAATGGTCCCCCAAAGTCCCTATATGTCTTTCGATTTGCACGAAATTTGGCATAACGTACTGAATTGAGCCTAGTATGATGTCTGCCAAGTTTCGAGAAAATCGGTCCATATTAAGATATAGCTCCCATATACAGTTTCGTCCGATTTAAGGTAAATGGGGCTCCAAAGTCCCTATATATCTTTCGATTTGCACGAAATTTGGTACAGCCTAATCATTTAGGTCTAGAATGTTGTCTGCCAAGTTTCGAGAAAATCGGTTCAGATTTAGATATAGCTCCCATATATATTTTCGTCCGATTTAAGGTAAATTGGGCAAGAAAGTCTCTCTACATCCTTCGATTTGCATGAAATTTGACATAGAGTACTGAATTAGGTGCAGAACGATGTGTGCCAAGTTTTGAGAAACTCGGTTCAGATTTAGATAGACCTCCCATATATAGTTTCGTCCGATTTAAGGTAAATGGGGCTCCAAAGTCCCTCTATATCTTTCGATTTGCATGAAATTTGGCACAGAGTACTGAATTAGGTCCAGAACGATGTGTGCCAAGTTTCGAGAAAATCGGTTCAGATTTAGATATAGCCGAATTTCGAGTATATCATTCGATTTGCTCGAAATTCGGCATAGAGTATTGAATTAGGTCCAGAATGATGTGTGCCAAGTTTCGTGAAAATCGGTTCAGATTTAGATATAGCTCCCATATATATTTTTCTCCGATTTTAGGTAAACAGTGCACCAAAGTCCCTATGTATCCATCGATTTGCACGAAATTTGGTATAGTGTACTGAATTAAGTCTAGAACGATGCGTATTAAATTTCATGCAAATCGGTTCAGATTTAAATATAGCTCCCACATATATTTTCGTCCGACTTAATTAAATGGTATACCAAAGTTCTTATATATCGTTCTTTACAAAATTCCCTAAAATTTGGAAAGTTTTGGTGAAATCGGCTCAAATTTGGTTAGAGCTACCGTATATATTATCTCCCGATTTTTAGTAAATGATGCACCAAGATCTTAAAATGTTTCTGATATGCACAAAACATACTGAAATTAGTATAACATAACCTGGGACAAGTTCCGATGAAATCGGTTTAGATTTTGATATAGCTTTTATGTATATTTCCGTCCGGTTTTAAATTAAGTAATTTAGTGTATGTTACAAAAATTTAGTATAGGTTGCAGAATGACATGTTTATGGATCCAATTTCATTTTACTGGTCCTTCAAAAATGCGACAACTCTTAGGATTCATCGGTTGAATATACCCAAAGTGGTGAAGGGTATCATATAGTCGGCCCCGTCCGACTTTACTACTTTCCTTACTGGTTTCTTCTCGTGGATGATCACAATGGACCTGACGGTCTCAGAGCACATAACCTATATCTATCTCTGAACCAATTTCAACAAAACTTAAACCAGTGAGCAGAGCAGTATAGTCGGACGGGGCCGACCATATGATACCCTACACAACTACCATGGAAATCTAAAGTTTTGCGGATTTTTATTCCGAGCCTGGGCAATATTTCGTGACAGTTTTACCCTGTTGCCCGATTAGAAATAAACAGCACTTCTTCCTTACACTGACATATATTCCAAATATTCAGTACAGCCCTTCTAATTACTTGTCACGGTGGCTTGTGTTGTGATGTTCGACTTTCAATTGTGGTCTATAGATCGACTCGGAAAACACAAAAAATAAGTTTTTGGTCCAATTCATCCCAAAATTATTATCTGATCATCACCGAAAATTATAGCCGTTGTTCTTGACCATACCTGGATCCTCATGGAAAATTTAAAAGCGATCAGTGCTATATTTCCGCTCTCTAGTGTGGTAATGTGTTACTAAATAATATATGAATACGTAAGAACCTGTAAATATGTAAGTGTATCTCCCACATCCGAGTACATACGACAATATAATTGGTATCAATTTAAAGGTCATCCACTCCCCTTGGATATAATTTAAACTTCTCGGGTCTCTGTCCTTCAGAAGTAAACATATACGCTCTAGAATACAAATTTTGTAA